ATCGCTGCTGAACGTCCTGCAGCAGCTCATCGTCAACTTTGCGCTTTGTGGCGGCATGTCGGGCCCTTATGCTGCTGAGGGCTGCCAGGATTGACTGATCAACGTCTGGTACTGCTGACCCCACATGCTCTGCAAACTCCACCGAGGATTATCGCTACCATCCGTGTGCTGCAGGCACAGCTGGGGGTGGGGATTTTGTTCAAGCCTTCCTCTGAGTATCACGTAAACGTGAGTAAAGGATCCGAAGATGCAGCACCAACCAACGTTCAGCTGTGGCTGTGGCCCGTTTTCACCAGGTTCATGGAGATTTGGGTGATTTCGTCGCTGTCAACGCGTGCGCTTGGCGAGCTTAGATTGAATCGGTCCATGACGAGCAGCCTTTGAATCACGATCAGGTACATCATCAACGTTTTCACACCCCTCAACTTCTTGGGGACCATCTACAACATGGCTCTTCGGCTCTTGACTGTTTTGTGGGCGCAGAAGTCCGCGGCGATCTCGGGAAGGAATGGTTAGGCAGAGGCATCTTGTGACAAGGTCGTCAATGCCATCGTGGATATGCGAAGCTTCGGGCAGCTCCTGGCAGAAACCTCCGAAGTTCAGGACGGTCTCATAGTACATCTCGTGGAAGATGAAGCTTATGAAGTTCGGTCCGCTTTCTTCTGGGCTTTGAGAGGGTTTGCTCCGTCTGGCTCCTGTGATTGCAATTCAGCGGCTCCCTTGCAGGACGCTCCCAATGCCGCGGAACTCAACCTCGCTGAGCGCGAGGCGGGGAGGTCCCTTTCCGGCCCTGCTACAGTAGTCCACCAGTATGGCAAGCACAGCTCATGCTGAATTACATGGGCCCGCAGATGTGGACTGTGGCGGGTTGCTGGTCATGCATCGGGGCACAGGAGCACCCCCATTTCAAAGTCTGAAACTACTCAAGTTATATCATGATTATCCCTGGGTCTTTGGTAAAACCTCGCAAGGGAAGCAGATAACATCGCGCGGTGTCAGGTGCCTATGGTATCCTTCTTCCAAGTCAACTTCCACTACTCCAAGTGGCACGGCACGGTCGGTTCAAGTGATGCCCAACCCTGCTTGAGTGAGGAAGGATGAGTCGCGAGACCTGTTTACTGTAGTTAATGTTCGCCCATCCGGGAGCTTTGCAAGCTAAACTTCTTCGAACGGGTGGGAGTTGAGTCATTATGATGCTTGGCAAGTCGTGTCACATGCAACCTAATGAGCTAGTGATAGTCATGGTAGCAGCAGCAGTCACGGTGATTTTTGCGATCCTGCCTTATACTTTTATGTCTCCTGTACTCATGGTGCTCGTAGAAGCAGCAATGCTGGCAATGCTTGCTGTAAATGCGCGACTGTAGAAATTGCTGCTCCCCTCATACACACACACACCCACACGCACACATGGCTAGAACATGTGTCTATCTATATATATATATATATATATATATATGTATATGTATATATATATATATATATATATATTATGTATATGAGGCATATATAATATGTATACACACACGGACATTTCATAACATATTGTACACGTCCTGGTGTAAGTATGCAGGTACATATGAGGGGCAGGCGTAGTCGAGGGAACGAAACATCACCAGCTAGCAACCACAAGTGGTGGTGTGCCTGAACTCCGGACCAAAGGCCCCGCAGAAACACAGGGAACCCGGAGACAGAGAGAAAGAGACACAGAGAGCACAATCATCGTACAGCCGAGCCCATCCAGTCAAAATGATGGGATGGGGCAGCTCCCCGGAGCGGAGGCAGGAACCTGCCTGCTTCCCAAGCCCCAGAGCAAAGCAAACACAGAGACACCCCTTGCAGAGAGTCAGTGAAAGATCTCAGCGAGGCAGCCCCTGGGCCGAGCCATAAAGGACTTGCTGCGAGCGGCGCTTAAATCTTTCGGTTCGGAATCGGGAGGCTGACGGTAACAGGAGGGGATAGCCTTGTTTGAGTACATCCAGCGTCAGGGCCAGAGCTTGGGCCTTTGGTGTTTTGGTGGGTTAGACGCTTATCCGTTGTAGAGCTGGGTTTCGGCTTTCGGTTTGAAAGGAGTTCCCGCCTCCGCACGCAGTCAGCAGTCGTCTCACCTACTTGGCCTCCTAAGGCTTGACTTTGCATCCAGCGCACCAGCTGCTTCTTGCAGTTAAGAGCCCCTTCAAACTGGCAGGATATCAGCTTCGAGATTCCTCGTGGTGGTTCCCTGGCCCTGGTGGGGGCCACGGGTGCGGGCAAGACAACGATCACGCGGCTCCTCTTCCGGTTCTACGACGTTGTGTCAGGCCCTACCCGCCCTGGGACTGTGGGGAGGAAACTGAATGTGCAGCGAAGTTGGAAGTGCCTATTGCATATTATCTTTGCCTCGGTATAATACTTGTTACAGTGATTATACACTGTATTTACAGAAAAAGAGCACGCTCGACCATATGTTATGAATGCAGTCGTTCGCGTCAGGTCAGGTCGCCGTGAATGGCCAGGACGTGCGGAGGGTTACACAGCGTTCTCTGAGGGCGGCCATCGGCATGGTCCCGCAGGAGCCGGAAGGATAAAATGGGGCCCGGAGGTAGTTTCAAAGTGGTCGGGCAGGGGAATCACTGCAAAATTGGTAATGAACAAGGGCCGACTGGTTGAATTTGGTTGGCAGGATGTCGTGCTGTTCAACTCCACGATTTCGCACAACCTGCGATACGGCAACATCGATCAGGCCACAGATGTCTCCAGGGCCAACCGGTCTGCCCTTCCCCTAGTCCTTGCGATGAGCTCACGAAGCCGGCTGTCATCACTTTGCCCTCAATTTGACGCCTTCGCAAGTGCTGCAGAGCAGCTGTCCGGCCTGGTGAAGCGATGCGTCTTTTGTCTTGACCTGGCCTGGCAGGCCACTTCAGCTGACATCGAGAAGGCTGCCAAGAGCGCACAGCTGGATGGGTTTATCGACCAGCAGGCCCAAGGCTACGAAGCTTGGCATGCAGTGAATTCAGTGGGCCCCGGGGTCTTCTTCGAGAGGTACGGTACTACTCCGAGGCAATACTAATGCTGTGCCCAGAACTACCTGGAACGATGTGTGTGTGTGTGTGGGCGCGCGCTACCGGCCCGTTTGTCAGGAAACACTTGTGGGCGAGAGGGGCCTCAAGCTCAGTGGAGGTGAGAAGCAGAGGCCGGGAAGTTGTCGTGTTGGTTAGGAGTTGAAATAGGTGTTGCAGCATGTTTCTAGTGGTATTGAACCTTTTCAATCCCGAACTCCGAAGCGCAAATCCAACGAGAAAAGGTTGGCCATTGCTCGCTGTTTGGTGAAAGACCCCCCGATTGTCGCTGCTCGGCCTCACAAATATGGCTCTTCATGACAAGCCGGTGAAAGGGGAGTCTCCGTGCATTCTGATGAGTCTTTAGCGGCATACGGTCTGGACGAGTTGCTTTCAGAGTGTGAATGTGTGAATGCTGTAATACAGAAATATCGAGTGGATGTGGACTCTGGGCTCTGGGCATAGGAAGGAGGCTGTCTATAAGTCAAGTGTTTGGACAGGACCGGGGCTCTCACATTGATATTGAGGCTTGAGGGAGATATGCTATCTCGATACCGGATATTTAGGGGTGTTGGGAAAACTTCCTCGGCAGATGAGGTGCTGGATGAAGCCACGTCGGCTCTCGACTCCCAGACGGAGCAGAAAATACAGCAAGCTCTTAGTGTGCTCAGCGCCTCGAGAACGGCCACTCGGACTCTCCACGAGATGGCAGGTAGAATCATTCTGTACACTTCTATTCGAGGAATGGCACAGGCCAGGGTCCGGGGCATGAAACCAGGTTGTGGCCATCGCCCATCGCCTCAGCACCATCAAGGCCTACGATCAAATCTGCGTCCTGGACGCCGGGCAAATAGCCGCTCAGTGGCCTTAAAGGGCTGGTTGCTCAAGCCTTTACTACACTCTAAATGGCCGCCTTACGCTTTTCAGTGCCTCCGTGGCGCACAAAGCAGCGCAAAGGCCCAGAGCAGCCTTAAAATTCGATGTGAGACTGAAGATGTGGCATTTGACTTCCTGTTGTTGTGTTCGGGGTTGTATGACCTCAGGTGGAGTCTGGCACGCACGACAGTCTTCTCGGCAAAGGGGCCAACTATGCGCAGATGTGGAAAAGGCAAGCTGCTGGCATCATGGACGATGATTTGGAGGACCAAGTTGTTCCGACAGCGGGGGCTTGAATGAACAACTCGAGTATTGCCGACATCACACAACAGACATGGCATGTCGCCTTCCCGACCTGTCTAGCCCGAGAGGATGTGGTAATGGCAAATGGTAGCCCCAAGACGGCCGCTACCAGTTGAAGCAGGTGAGGGCGTGGCAACTTTAACTAACAATCTGTACATATACTGCCAGTAGCAGCTACTCTTGCACGGATAATCCGTCATAGCTCGCGAGGTTTGTACTTGACTGCTTGACGTGTCTATCGCGTCGGAAGCCAATCGTGGGAGTGACTCCACGCTCCTCCGCTTAGGGGCACACAGGCAAAGGTGATTGGCGTGTCTTTCGACGGATCCTGGATTCTCTGGTAGTCTGACGGAGAGATCCTGATGATCGAAAGACTTGATTCAATTTTCCGTCGTCGCTGTCGAAAGAGGCATCCTTCCTTGTGACTGCGTCCCGACCCCCAAGGCCCAAATGATTTATTTTCAGGTTTTTGTTCTGCAGCTTGGTTCCTCAATGGCAAAGTGTAATGCGAAGATCCTGTCCATTCGTGTGCAGACAGTATAACGTAGTGGAGCTTTGACGCCCCGAGATCCCCAACCCCCCGAGGTGGTTTGCCAATGTTCGAGGCCATTTTGGCTTTTACCAAAGCCGTTGTGACATGGATACAACTTGTCACCGACAGAGCAACAGCGCCCCTTGTGGCGGCAAGGCTGGCGAGGTCTTAACACACCGAACGTATCGTGCCCAGCATTTCTAGCCCGGCGCAGTCGTCACAGGTCACCCCAGAAGGCCAGAGAGCCCAATGCA